TACTTGAGGAGTTTTTTTGTTAATGCATAAAGAATTGTTTCTTAAGTGAATTTTTGAGATAAAGGCAATTTTTTCTAAAGGGACGTTTGTTTTGATATTTTTTGATCACGTGATATTACACCAAATCAAGATTCTTTATTGGGAGATCGCTAAAGCGTTATACCCACGTGACTTTCGAAGTTTTAATTGTAATTAGTGTTAGGGTTAGTTTTATTGTTAGGGTAAGGGCAGATATATAGGTAAAATTTCCTTCCCGACATTTTTTATTAATGTACCAAGACAGGTTTAGACAACCGTTTTTCATATTTTCTCATTTTTTTTATTTTTTGATTTCTTCAAGCTGATCTGTATAACAAATCTTATGATTTTGATTGGTGATCTATATAAAAAAAAATCACATGGGTACAAGGCTTTAGCAGACCCCCTTTATTGGATAATTTGTTGTAGATCATCACGTGATCGAGAAAATTTATTATAGTTACATAGTAATTTTTGTTGGCGATCCTGGGGTAGTTTAGCTTTAGATGATCTAGAATGATCTCCAAAAAAAGAAATCGAAAAATAGATAGTAAATTCGATCATACCCCCATGCTCCACATATATTTATTTTAAAAAATTTATATCAATATTTGAACTTATCTACTATGTACTTCAAAGTTAAGCACAGACATTTGGATATGCTTTAATACTAGTTTTGTAACAAAAATTTTACTTATTTTGACTATTGGTAATACAACGATACCTATAGCAATTCTTGGTACACAAATTATACTTTGGTATTTTGATGTATGAAGTAATTCTAAATTCAAAATCATTATCGGAGATGGTAATGACCTTGACAATCTCAAGGAAGCTATTAAAGAGAAAATACTACCATATGATGCTTTTGCTTCTGCTAGACTTAAACTGTAGAGAGTTAACATGGATCAAGCTATTTCTGAAGAATTACTAGATAATAAATTAAAGAATATAGCAAAAACAATTGGAGAAACTTTTCGTGATATCCAAGGAGGTAACGTTCGAGTTGTAGTTAGAGCTTCCGATACTGGTAAGTGAGTTACAACAAGTTTAGTCAACATGATATAGTGTTATTTTTTTCATCTTCTCTCGCTCACACTATGTCATATTCATCAATAATACCGAATACTTACTTATTCTTGTTCTTTTCTTTCCTGTTTCTTATTGACAAACCCACCCAAAAAACACATTCGTATTATCATAGATCAACCTGGTAACTGGTAAGTGAGTCATAATAAATTAATTAACATGAGTGAATATGTTATAGCTTAAAATTTAAGCAATATTTTATTTCATTTTTAGGTGGAGAGCAAGATAATTTTTCTGTTATGATTTAAAAATATTGATTATTTCTTAATGTTTTATTTATCTTAACAGAATTAAAGAGACATATTGATAAAATTGCCAATGAAGTATGTGGGCTAAATCGTGAAGTAAAAAGGGTATGTTTTGCTGCAGATGCAGTACTACAGATATATTATTTGCCTAGTTTTTTAACTATTTCTGAAAATATCATTAACAATTTGTGTTTAGGTACTTTTACAAAAACTGAAAAGCGTAAATTTGTGCAAGAAAGAGGCATTGAAATTCCATTTCTGCTTGATTTGACCAAAAGTTCCAAACCAAAGTCACCTGAAAAGTTTTTACATTCGCTTAACATGAACAAGAATGCAAATCCAAAAGAAGAAAAAGTACAAACTTACTTTATAGATGAATGTAAGGCATTAGAAAATTATGTAAACATACAAAACAAACTTATTGTCAGAGACACACATTTTTTCCTGTTGCTGGATACTCGAAAACCAGGTTTTGTATTCATTCTGAGCGATTCTTCTTTGGATCCATTAAGTGTTGTAGCCATTGGTGAGATTAAGAATCAAGTTGGTGAAAGCTTTAGCAACGCAGATATAGAACATGCAATATTATTTGGTGAAAAAATACTTCAACTTCAGCCACAACGAAACTATATGTATGTAGTATTGACAGATTGTATCATAATCAATATATATAGAGTGAATAGAAATAAAATCTACTCAGAAGAATATACCTAGTTCACATATAACTACATAAAAAGTGAGTATTTAATATACAACACTCAAGTTAGTAGTCTTTCTAAAGGATGGAGATACCTGGTAACAATAATGGAAAGCTCTCCAGAAAGATTGAGATGGGTTGAACCATTATTGAAATTTGGTGAAGAAACTGTAAAGTTGGTTCAATCTATTGGCATAGACAGAACTAGTGTTGTGTATGAATGAATACATAAAGACAGATCTGTGGCTGTGAAAATGACGAAAAAGGCAAATTATCTGTCATGCATTGAAAGAGAAAGAGCTGTATTGGAAGAACTTTTAGAATTGGATTCACCTCATATTCTAAAAATTCTTTTTTACAATGAGAATACTCTTGTCATGATTTCTCTTGGTGAGAAAGTTAATAATTTGCGAAAAACAGATATCAAAGATATAATCCACACTCTCAAACGTGTGTATTCATATGGATATATACATAGGGACCTTCAGAAATATAATTTTCTTCGTAATTTAGATGATTCAAAGGAAATTATTGACTGGGGTTATAGCACAAAGGATCGCGAAGTCACTGCATTTGCAGGAGCACTTGAATGCATGCCGGATGTAGTCTTGAAATCATTAATTAATGAGAAAAATATTGTTTATGATGCAAAAGTTGATTTAACATGTTTTGTGCGATCATTCTATCTGATGCTACACAAACCATCAATGGAAAGAGTTGCCTTTGACAGAGATGATGACATCAAGAAACGCGCACAAATGCTGTTAAATTTTTGGAAAGATTGTAATAAGTCAGACGTGTGGGGTAACATTCAGGCCTACCGAATAATTGATTGTGGGGGCAATATTTCGAACTCAATTAATTGATTGATGGCGCAGTCATAATTGGTCAATTAATTGCAATTTTACGTAATTGGA